CTATTTCTAAATTGTTTTTTTTATTCTATGAGCTTTGAAAGTCTATTCAAATCTTACAGTCAATTTGTCAATTTCTAGAGAAAAACATGCTGGGATTTGTATTTTAATGTGTTTAATAATGAACATATTAATAATTTTGTGTCTTTCATTTGGTAAACATAGCATACTTCCTCATATATTTTGGCTTACCTTAGGTTTTTACTTTTTTTTCTTTCTTCAGCAGAATAATGGTTTTGAAGGTGTTGTATAAAGTTTTTGAAGTTTCAAAGCTAGTATTTTTTTAAAGAAAAGCATTATGTTTGAAAAATATCTTCATGATAATCAAATATGTTATTATTATTAAAACGTTTACCATTTCCAGAATTTTGCATCACTTCAAGGAGATTTTTATCTCCAATTATTTTATTACACTTAAATAACTTCTTTTTATATTACTTTAGTGAATTATGATTAGCAAAAATTTTCTCAGCTTTTATGTGTCTGAAAGAGATCTTATAACCCCTGAAATTTTACACCTTTATTTTTGAGCGATGGTGTCACTAAATATCAAATTCTAAACATTTTTCTTGGCAAAGAAAACTTTCTCTTTTTTCCTGAAATGTCTAGGGTATTTGTTAACTGTTTTCCTCTGCCTATAAGATGTATATAAATGGAATAATATAGTACCTATAATTTCTTATCTAAATTCTTTCACTCAGCATGTGATTTTTTACTTTATTTTTTTGGTACAGCAGCAGTTTTTTTTTTTGCAGGAAGACTGGAGCTCTTAAGCTTTGTTAGGGCAGTTTAAGGATGGCTTTTCGGAGCTCTTGTGAATCTGTATTACTTAGGTGTGAATTTTTGAGATCTCTACTGACTGTCTCGGGTGTTCTGTGACATTTTTCCATCCTGGCTAGTTGAAACTCAGACATCTCCCTTTGCTGTGAGAGTTCTAGGATTGGGGGTATGAAGAGCCTCCTAGTTGTTCTCTGCAGTCTCCCTGAGTGCCATCTTATACCTAGACATCTTAACACTCAGTGGATCATGTAAAAGCATCTTCATGAATGTTTCTTTGAGTCTAAATCAGCTCTCCTCTCTGGCGTTTTACTCAGTAAATTATTGTTGCTTCAGCCTCCTCAAACCTCTGATTTCAGTCTCCTCTGCTACGCAGGACTACTGTACTCTCCTTGATTTCCAGGAATAACACTGACCTGATAAGGTCATCGGGGGCAGAGGATATGAGCTAATGGATGGATTGGGATGGCTGCTGAATCAGTGTTCTACAAGCTGCTATTAATATTAAAGCTGTGACATCAGAAATGGGTAGAAAGGACAGCTTGCTGTTACAGTCCTTCAGTCCTCTGCTTTTTAAAATGACTCATTGAGTTAAAGGATTCTTACTCCTAAATGTCTGTCTCTTCCTCTTTAGAAATCAAATTAACACTGGATTGATGAGACCGTGCTAGGTCGTGACATCAGGCATCTCTCTGTTAAGAACCTTTTATTTCTCAGAAAGGGGCAGTTCTATGGGGAATTTGAGGGGGTGACTCTCCTGTCTTAATGTTTATTAGGGGAACTGGGCTCCTTCCTGGTGACACTGTTGTGACCTGTGCCTGGGCCTACCTTAGCCTTCTTCGCATTTTGTAATTTTCCAACTATTTCTCTCTCTAAACATCAGAAAAGTAGATGAATATAGGAAACATTAGTGAATGCAAGCATGACTTAAATATATAAAATATATAAAACAGGAAAGTTAAAGAAAAAAATATCTAAATGAACTAAAACCTAGGTAATTTGACAAGGATGTCATTTATTTAATCCCTCAAAATATTCCATCTATATGCAGGATCTATAGCTAATTTTTTTTGTCTTTCTTTCTAATTGAGGAAGTAATATAGTTCATTTTAGCCAGAATAACCTTGATTTAAAATTAATAATCCATGCCAAAAAATCGTAACATTCATAGTTATCTATCTTACACAGATCAAATAAACAGATAATGCATTTTTTTTTTAATTTCAATGGGGTTGAACAGACATTTTTTAGTTCCTAGACTTCAAAGAAGGATCTCCTTCCAAAGCCTCAATCCCCTGAGTGCCCCAGCTATTATAAAGCTGAGGGATTTTGCCAGAATGTATGCCACAGGGACACAGCTGCTAAGAGAAGGGGTGTCCAGTTAGTCACATCCCAGCAACTAGGCAGAGTTATCTTTCATCTTCTAAGGCTCAAGTGCCTGAACTTTCTCTAATATCACCTGAGAAAATTATTACTTTGTAATTTTGCTTATTTCTCCCTCCTCTCTAGATTTTGATTGGGTTCAGAAGAAAAGAACCTGGGATTGAGCTAAGACTGCCTGTGAACGTAAGGTGTCTCCTTTGTGTTAAAGTTATGTGATCGCTCTTTCTTGTTAGTAACATCATCTATTGGTCCTCTCTAAAGACACTTTGGATACCAAAGAGAGATTCAGAGGCAGAAGAACTGGAAGAAACCATGCAAGTTAAGGTGGGTCATAGCATCCGGATCTAGAGTAAAAAATAGGGGCAGAGAGCATGTGGCAAGAGCCCAGGGGGAAGAAAAACTGACCATGTAAGGATGAGAAAGAAAGAAAAGTTGGAAAAGGATTGAGAGATTGTAAAACATCAAAATCCCCTAAAACAGATCTAATCTAGGAGAACTACCTGAATAGAAGAACAGTTATGTAGCTTAGGAAGAAAAATGTATAATGAATTAAAGGTGGAAGAGTAGGAAATAGGAGTCGACAGAAGGAAGGAGCAGGGAGCCTTCAAGAGGTTCACACTGAGTAAAGAGAACACTGATCTGCTCCCTAAATTGCTGGTGAACGTAATAAAGTGCAAAGGAAATATTAAAAATGAAACCTGGGTCATTCAGACCACCAAGTCCTGAAAGGGAGACTTTGGGACATTTGGGATATCACCTCTGCTATTAAGTAAATTAAGTAACCTAAATCTTCATGGTTCACTGGTCTGGGTTTCAATTTCCTCATACGTAACACATGAGGGGTTTAGACGGGATACTAACTGTTCACACTTATTGAATGCTTACTACCATTCAGGAACTTCATGGTGGGTATGTGTGTTTGGTACTCAAAAAGCTTTTCAGTTTATGTTATTATTTACTGCCCTTTCAGACATGAAAATGAGGCACAAATTTAGGACTTGAATTCCCTAAGATCATAAACAAGCAAAGCCATAGTCACAACCTAGGCAGTCTGAGTCCAGGGTCTGCATCCTCCCTAACCTTCCCATGCTGCTAATCAAACAAAAGATCCCAGAACCAACCGATAGCCAAGAAAAGGAAACAGGAATAAAAGTAATTTAGGGGCTACTCAAGAAGCCAAGAGCGTAGTAGCAAGCTGGGGTTTTATAGGAGAGATGACCATTAATTGTGAGAGATAAAGAAGAGTGGGAAGATAATTCTAATGCTATGTATAGAAGGAGAGCAGTAGAAGTTACTTGCATGGCTTGTCTACAACTGAGGGACAGTTGCATGACCCACACTCAGGACTACAACACCTAAGGTGGTATCCAAGAGAGAGAAGTTTCCTGAAATGATGCCTTGGCTAATATTTGAAATAACTAACAACATTAGGAGGAAAATATGACCCATCCAGGGATATGATGATTCACTGCAACAATTAAAGAGCTGTCATTTATAGAAAGGAGTTACTTCTTGTGAGCATGTGCAGAGGACAAATCAAGGACAATGGGTGGAGATTCCAAGAAAGGGTAAGGAGGTTTCAGAATGCATCTCAGAGTAGGGAGGTTCTAGCTAAGCGAGCATCCTATTTGGTAAAGTAATGAGTTTCTTATTACTTGAATATGACTATGGAGACTCAACAATCCTTTCTAGATTGCTGTAAAAAAGTTTCCCAGAATTGGATGAAAGTTTAGGTTGGAGATTCCTGATCTTTTTCTTTTTTTCCAGGTAAAATATAGTCTGATTACTTAACCCTAGTAATTTCATTTACTTATTTATTTTTATATTTGTATTGGGGATTGAACCAAGAGCCCCATCATGTCTGGCTTAACCCTGGAAATTTTAGCATTATGTGATCTTCAGACCAAGCTATGGATCTCCCCAGAAATAATGGTAAGGATCATTCTGAGAACATTATGAGAGTATTGAAGTTGAGAGAGAGGCCAGCAAAGTAGAGGTCTCAGTGCAATCGTCAAAATATTCTGAAGGTAAATTGAGATTGAAGCAGATATATTTTATAGTTAATGCTCTTTTCCATATTTTTATTGATACATTATAGTTATACATAATAGTGGGATTCACTGATACATACTTGTATGTGCTCAAAATCCAACACTGTAATTTAATCAATATTATTTTTTTAAGTTGATTCTTAGTGCCAGGTCCCCATGCACTCATGACGAGAGAAATCCTAATTAATGCCTGAGCCATTTCAGAGACTTCACAATTGACCAGGTGTAAAAAGAACTGAACACTTTTGAATAAATGAAAGTAATTAATCCCACCTAAATAATAAGTTGCAGTCAAGCATATGAGGTAGAGTTTATGTCGATTTTCACTTGTTTTTGCTTTAGTTTTCTGAATCAAATTTTAATAAGAAGACTTTGGAGAGAAACGATGTCAAACCACTGCTTCATTGAAGTGGGTTAGGCAAGTCTTTAATCTCTTTGAGCCTCAATTTATTGTTCTATAAAATGTCAGAATTGAATCAGATGAGCTCTAAACCATTTCTTGGTTTAACAATGTGGACAATTTTAATGGTATGAACCTTCCATGGACCTATGAACATAAATAACAGAAGCAATATAAATTTTTTTTTTAAAAAAGATCTCTTCCAGTGTTCAAATATGGGGGTGTTATATGTGTTGCTACCCATGTCTCCTGGTCCCTCCCACCATGTTTTTAATGTGATTAACTCATTATTTCAGATTCATATTATCAGCCTGACACAGACATGCAGACCTGGTTTCTTTGAGGGCATTTCACTTTTGTCAAATTCTCTGTCCTTAATTTCAGGGGTCTGAATCTGATCTCCATTGACTGATGAAGAGACAGAACCAAAGCGTGATCACGGAGTTTATCCTGATAGGCTTCTCCAACCTGGGGGACCTGCAGATCCTGCTTTTCTTTATCTTCTTAATAGTCTACCTGAGCACTCTGATGGCCAATGCCACCATCATGACCGTCATTCGCCTGGACAGGACTTTGCACACGGCCATGTATTTCTTTCTGTTTGTCCTTTCCTGCTCTGAAACCTGCTACACCTTGGTCATCGTGCCTAAAATGCTAAGCAACTTGCTGGCCACCGTTCCCAGTATTTCCTTCGCGGGCTGTGCCGCCCAGCTCTATTTCTTTGTGGGCTTGGCTTGCACCAACTGTTTCCTCATTGCCGTGATGGGCTACGACCGCTACGTCGCCATCTGCAACCCTCTCAACTACACCCTCATCGTGAGCCGGGCCACCTGCGGGCACCTGGTGCTGGCCTCCAGCCTTTGCGGTTTCCTGATCTCGGTGGTGGTCAACCTCCTGGTGTTCAGCGTGCCCTTCTGTGCCTCCAATCGGATCGACCACTTCTTCTGTGACATCTTCCCCGTCCTAAAACTGGGCTGCACAGACACCAACCTGAAGGAGATGGCCATCTTCTTGCTCAGCATCCTGGTGCTGCTGGTCCCCTTCGTCTTGATCTTCGTCTCCTACGTCTTCATCGTCTCCACCATCCTCAGGATCTCCTCGGTGGAGGGGCAGCGCAAAGCCTTCGCCACCTGCGCCTCTCACCTCACCGTGGTGGTCATCCACTACGGCTGCGCGTCCTTTATCTACCTGAGGCCCACCTCCCTGTATTCCTCAGACAAGGACTCGCTGGTGGCAGTGACTTATACCGTCATCACCCCACTGCTCAACCCTGTCGTCTACACACTCAGAAATAAGGAAGTGAAGACGGCCCTGAGAAAGGTTCTGAGCAGATACTCATTTCCCAAAGCTGTGTGAAGGGGCTGATGCGTCAGGAAACCATGTCCACCCAAGTGTCCTGGGGATACCTGTCCTTTTTTTTTTTTTTTTGTTCTAGGACTCTTTGTCCCAAAAGGGGAAATATAAGGACTCAGATCATCTTGATTCTTTTTTATTGGAGATTTCTTCTTCCTGGTGAACTGTCCCTGGTGTGGACGTTATACCAGTCAGTCTCCAGATGTCATAGAAACTCTCAAAGAGTGAAGCCACGCTGTTTCCAAGCACTGAAATGTCAGTTTTCTAGGATCAACACTGCCAATGCTGCGTTATGTCTTTGTGAATGTTCCCAATGATGAGACCGAAAGAAACAATAGAGAATACACAACATTGTCTAAGTCTCTGGATTACTTACAATAAATTATTTCTAAATAAAAAAAAAGAACATGAATTCACTTTGGAAAAAAAAAGAGGTGGGGATATTAAAATTTTAAGAGGTTAAAGGTAGAGTAAAAAACAGACTTCAAAGTTGCAAGAGGTGGGTTTGACTAAAATGGTGAAGGGAGACATTTATATTACCATTAAATATTTTTATTTTGAGGCAGAGAAATCCCATAAGTAAGATTATGTCTAGCTGTGTTTATTGTTTACCTTGTTAATCAATAAAAAGTATCTGAATGATTTAAGCCTACTCACTGAGCACCCAGTTGAGTTTCTCTCCTTCTTATCTCTACTGCAGTGTGTCAGGGGGTGAGTGCGTAACATGTTCATGATCTTTTAGTCAATACTATTTTTTGAACATGAACTACAGTTGGGCACTGTGGGAGATTCAAAAGAAAGAGACAACATGTTGGCTGATGTCAAAGTTTCTGAACTAAGTGGTGAAATTTGTGAAGAACAGCCAATAACACAAGATAATGTACAATTAAAGTATAAACTTTAAAAAAAAAAAGAGAAAAAGCTGGGTTTGACTGTTGATTCAGAACAGTTCCTAGTTAAGTGCTTTGGGCAAGATTTAAGCACTCTTATTTTCAGTTATGTTTTATGGAACATGGACTTTTAACACCTCCTCATGGGTCATTACAAGAACTACATAGATTAATGGATATAAAGCAATTTCATGCTGCTGCTAGGAGTTATTTTTACACAGAGACATGAAGGGACTTCTCTCTTCACTATACTTTCTGTACTTACTTTAATAATTTGCATAATAGTTGATTCATAAATAATTCAGGACAGTTACCTATTCAAGTGCATCATATGCTTTTGCCTGAATATAGGGTGGCTTTTGTTAAAATGTGTGTTGATAAATCAGAATTAGATGGCACTAATATAAGTATTTACTCCTCAGTCTTTTACTTTAGTGACAAGCAGTTCAATTAATCTTCTTCAAGAGAATTATAACCTTACATCAACACCAGTAAGTTTTCTCACATACTTGCTGTGTAAGCATAAACCAACAGCTTAAACACCATAAATTGGAAGTGATTAAAATGTGTTTGTTTTAATGATTAAATGAGGAAATACCTAAAAGTATCTAGCACCTTGTTTTGAAACATAATGAGCATTGGACAAATTTAAAGATAGATCCTAATAGGTTTCTCAAACCTAGAGGACCTGCAGATAATATTATTGTTATATGTTATAATATGCTATAATACCGAGAGGCTAAAAGAAGAGATGAGAGAACAAATACAAAGAGATGAAAAGAGAAAGAAAAACTAGGATTAGGAGAATAGGAACTCCTCCCCCCCCCCAAAAAAAAAAGTGACAGAAGGCTGAGTCGAATTTGCTTTCTGCCAACAGTGATTTTCTTTTAATATGCGGAGTTCTATTTTTTAAAGTTTATACCCAATGGTTTGGCAACAAGTGTCACTAGGATAAAGTTAGGTTGCTAACATATTCATCAGAATAGTGTCCAGAACACCCTCAAAACATATTTCATTAAGGTGCTGAGTCATGTACATATATTTTAAATATTATTTTGTTCCAGGTTTAAGCTATATTTGTTGAGATGAAGTGGACACCACCTACAGGTGAGAGGTGTTTGGGAGTTAGAGGTCTCCTTCAGTTTCATTCTCTGTGGTCTCAAAATCTCCAGAACACCACCTTTCCCAACCCCATCTACTCAACACATACATTTACATCTATGGAAGGTATTTCCCTCTGATTTGTACATGGGCACACATACTTCTCTACTTGCTGCAGATTAGAAAGGGTCCACTGGATTTCTACTCTCTTTACAGACTGGCATGAACTTGCACTGAATTGACACTTTGGAATGACCATGATGGAGACGGCAATAGCAGCAAAGACTAGACCTCGTATATATTTGGGTTTCAAAATTTTTTTTAGAATTACAAATGATGATGAAATTTGGACCATCTGAAGTCTTCTAATTTATTTTAGTTATAAATGACCACAAAAGTTTTTCTTCTGGATCTCCAGGGGTCATGTTAATATTCATTTAACTAAATGTTGATTAAAGATATTTTATATTATCAATCCAGAATGTGTTTTAGACTTAAATGCATTTACCTAACAGATAATTATTTAGCATTTGTCACTCACTGGCACAGAGAGAGGTGAAATGCAGTGTAGAAAAGACAATTACAATACAGTATGATAAAAATTTAATTGAGAGACATTGGAGATATCTATATCTATCTATCTCTCTATAGATAGATATAGATATAGATATAGATATAGATATAGATATATAAATTAATGTCCTAACCAAATTTTGGAGAAATCAAGAAATATTTCCTAGAGTAAATAATGTTTACATGAAATCTGGAAAGATAAGTAAAATTAAAAAGGGAAAGAGTAGCAAAAAGTGTCTTGGAAAAGTGCATAGGCTTAGAGAAATAAGAATAAATTTCATGTACGCCAAAACACACACTACTGTCATGGATATCCAGAAAGAACACACACACACACACACACACACACACACACACACACACACACACAAGAATACACAGCTTCAGTGACTAAATTGTGTCCTATGTGCCTAAAAATAGACCTACAGGGTGACAGAAAAAAAATTGATAAAGATAAGGCAGAAAGCATAATCTCATTAAGGACTTTGTAGATTAAATAAATCAGAATTAATCCCACTCTATGAGCAAGTGGGGTTTAGTCAATTGTGGTTTGGCTTAACATATTTGAACTGATTTTTCCCTTAGTATATTAAACTTATACATACCATTGGGGTTTATTAATTTATTGGGGGGGGTACCAGGGATTGAATTCAGGGCAGAGAGCCACATTCTCAGCTGTATTTAGAGAAAGGATCTCACTAAGTTGCTTAGTGACTAGTTTTGCTGAGGATGGCTTTGAACTTGTGATGCTCCTGATTTAGCTTCTGGAGCTGCTGGGATTACAGGTGCTCACTAGGGAGCCCGGATATTGGGGTTTATTTTGACATAATAATACAAACAGCATTTTTTTAAATTTCAAAGCTATTGTTTCTGACAAAAAGAGAGAGAGATACATAGAAAAAAATATTGGCTGGATCTAGACCATAAACTATACACACACACTCACACATGAAAGTTGAAGGAAAATATGTATTTTTAACATGCAAATACCATTTTTAAAAATAAAAATAAAATAGTTTATTCATTCATTTAAAAAGCTAGGAAACAGTGAAGGAAGCAATAGGGAAAGTGAAAAACATTCAGAATCGAAAAAATCTTTGCTAGCTACTCTCTTTAAAGAGGATTAGTATCTAGAATATATAAAGAACTCAAAAAGTTTTACACCAAATATTCAAATAACCCAATTAATAAATGAGCAAATTAACTAAACATATACTTCTTAAAAGAATAAATACAAATTATCATGAATACATAAAAATGTTCAATACCATTAGCATTTAGGAAATACAAAGCAAAACTACACTGATTTCATCTCACATCTGTCAGAATGGCAGTCATAAAGAATACAAGTAATAATAAATGCTGGAGAGAATGTGAAGAAAATGGAACACTTTTACACTATTGGTAGGATTGTAAATTAGTACAACCATTAAGGAAATTTGAGGCACCCCAAAAAAACTAGGCATGGAACCACCAAATGACCCAGTGATTCCACTTCTTGGTTATTTATCCTGAAGAATTAAAGTCGTCATACTTCAGTGACACATGCATACCCTTGTATGTACCCTTAGGGCAGAACAACTCACAATAGCCACATTATGGAGCCAGCCTAGGTGTCCATCAATGGACGAATAAAGAAAATGTGGTATATATACACAATGGAGTTTAATTTGGACATAAAAAAATAAAATTATGTCATTTGTAGGAAAATGGATCAAACTAGAGATCACCATTTTAAGTGAAATAAATCAAACTCAGGAGGTCAAGGGTCCTATAATGTTTTCTCTCGTATGTGGAAGTTAGAAAAAAAGAAAAGAAAGGAGGGGTAAATTTCATGAAAATCAAATTGTGATCAGAAGAGGAAATGGACTAAGGCATAGGAGGCAGGGAGGGAGGAAGAAAGGCTATGGAGTGATATTAGCCAAATTATATTCTTATATTGTGTGAATATATGAATATATAACAACAAATCCCACTATTGTGTAGAACTATAATACACAACTAAAAATATAAAGAAATAAAATAAGAAGAGAGCTAAGATAAATAAATAAATAACAGAAATATACAAAATAGGAATTACATTAGAATCTACAGATAAATATAAGAAATAAAAAGTGAAATATATTTATAAGGTTGACTGATACAAAGTTAATAATACCAAATTAATTTATATCAGCAGAAAAAACAATAAAATGCTGATATCTGGAATATAAACGATACTTGTGAATCAATCAGTGAAAGAGGAATCAATAAGAAAACAAGATTTGTAGTAGACAAATTATTGAACAAGATTTGCAAAACAAGAAACCCATTACAGTTATAAAAAAGGTGCTCAATCTCAAAAGGCAAATACTGTTATAGATACAAACACAAATGTCTCAAGTGAAAGTGAGCTACAGAGTTAAATGTTGCCCTAGATGTTCAGTAACTGTAACTCCCATATGCTGTTGGGAGGAGTGTAAATTGGTACAATCTCTTTGCAATGCTCTTTGTCAGAGTCTAGTAGAATAGAACACATGTAGAGGTTCATCTAACCTTGCCTGGGCACTAAGCCACCTCAAAGCATGGTGGGTTAAAAATCTTTATTTGCCTTGTTTTGTGACTGACTTATTTCACTTAGGAAAAGGAGAGCTATTTAAAGGTTACAGACTTTCAGCTTTGCAAGATGAAAACCTGAAGATCTGTTTCTTAGCATTGTGCATATGTTTCATATTTCTGAACTTTAAAAATAGTTGTTGATAAATTCTACATTATGTAG